GTATGTTCATTGCAGTGCTGTTTACGATAGCAAAGACCTGGAACCAACCCAAATGCCCATCGATGATAGACTGGACAAAAAAAAAATGTGGCACATATACACCATGGAATACTCTGCAGCCATACAACATGATGAGTTCGTGTCCTTTGTAGAGACATGGATGAATCCGCAAACCATTATTCTCAGCAAACTGACACAAGAACAGAAAACCAAACACTGCATGTTTTCACTCATAGGCAGGTGATGAACAATAAGAACACTTGGGCACAGGGAAGGGAACAACGCTCACAGGGCTTGGTGGGGGAATGGAGGGGAGGGGAGGGAAGTGACAGCAAGGCGGAGTGGGGAGGATGGGGAGGGATAACCCCCAGAGAAATGCCTAATGTAGGCGGTGGGGGGGGGGGGGGGCGATGGAGACAGTAAACCACCGTGGCATGTATGTACCTATGCAACAATCCTGCAGGTTGCAGGATGTGCACATGTACCCCAGAGCCCAAATACAGTAAAAAAATAAATACATAAATAAATAAATACCATAAGCCTTCCTAGGTAATAAGCCTGTTAAGAAAAGTAAGCAATTATATAATTGGCAAGGAAATTAATACAAAGATCTAAACCAAGAAATATCAAAGCCTTTTTTTTCTTGGAAGTTTTTGTTGTTTCACATATATTCCATGTCTGCCATCAGAATCTAAAATTCTGGCCCACTTTGTATATAGAGCAGTCCCTTTAGAAATTTGCCTAATTTTTAGGCCTTTTTTTTTTTTTGAGACAAGGTCTCATCCCTTCATCCAGGCTGGAGCACAGTGGCAAGATCATAGCTCACTGCATCCTGGACCTCCTGGGCTCAAGTGAACCTCCCATCTCAGCCTCCTGAGTAGCTGGGATTATAGGTACATGCCACCTTGCCCAGCTAATTTAAAAAAAAAAAAATTGGCCAGGCTCGGTGGCTCATGCCTGTAATCCCAGCACTTTGGGAGCCCGAGGCAGGCAGATCACCTGAAGTCAGTACTTCAAGACCAGCCTGGCCAACATAGTGAAACCCTGTCTCTACCAGAAATACAAAAAAATAAAAATTAGCTGGGTGTGGTGGTGGGTGCCCATAATCCCAGCTACTTGGGAGGCTGAGGCAGGAGAATCACTTGAACCTGGGAGGTGGAGGTTGCAGTGAGCCAAGATCGTGCCATTGCACACAAGCCTGGGCAACAAGAGTGAAATTCTATCTCAAAAAAAAAAAAAAAAAAAAAAAAATTACATTGATGGGGTCTTGCTATGTTGCTCAGACTAGTCTCAAACTCTTGGCCTCAAGTGAGCCTCCTACCTCAGTTTCCCAACATGCTGGGATTACAGGCGTGGGCCACTGTGCCCCGCCTGTTTTAATTCTAGTGCTAGGAGAATAAGTAGGGTTACTTGCCATCTTTGATCCAATGACTTTAGGAGCTTGGAGTGCCGAGTTGAGAAGAACCATGATACCAAAACCGGGCTCGTTCTGTGATTTGTTAGTCATGTCTGCCACAGACATGGAGCAGGAGGGCTGAGGCATGGCACAGCATGACTACTGGAGAAGTAATTATCATAATATACTTCATTTAGACCCCAACACCATCAGATTGATCTTGGAATCATTGGTTAACACTAACTGTCATATAGGAAGGGTAAGAACTGAAAAAAGAAATGTCAGCTCTTGAATAATGTCAATACCTACCATCATATCTGAAATTTAGTAGTTTCTTGATAATACCTATTGAAAAAGGAAAGGATGGAAATAATTGTTGTCTTAGAAACATGCTCATAAAGGGGAAACTCATTTTTAGGAACTGACTGTGAATCAGGGCCTGCCCTGCTGTGGCTTACCGGGCGCAGAGCATAGGAACTGTTCAAGATAATCAAGAACACTCTGTACATTTGTTTGTCTTGTTTGTTATGTATTAAATAGCATAAAAGCAGCGTTCCAGTGTTCAATCTTTAAAACATTTGCATTGTCTAACAACAAACACATAGTGCCTGCATCAGAGTGGCCTTTTGTTTTTATTTGCCACGCTACTGGAAGGAATAAAGTGGATTTTTGAGATTTGAATCCCCGCTGTGCCACTACATCTATGTGTTCTGAGGCAAGTTACTTAGCCCTCTCTGTACCTCCAGGATTAACGTTGCCAACCTCTGAGGCGTAAGCTGGGTGATTCTAGTCAAGGGTTTAGGACAGTGTGGGCACATCCATAGTAAGTGCACTGGTTCTTTGGCCCTCAGTTCCATTCCTGTCCTCCATGCTGGCCCCTGACCCCTGCAGACTATTTCCTGGCTCTGCCTGGGTTTGGTCTGTCGGAGGCACTAGAGGCTGAAGGAAGGAGAAGCCAGGGTACCTCTGACCTGTCTCTATCTGTGTCTCTGTGTGGCTCCAGCTACCTCTGCACAGGCTGGCCATGGCAGAGCCCCTGCGGGTAGCCCTGGCCCCTGGGTCCTGGTTCTCCACCACCTCCCTTGGGCCCTTCAGCCTGGGAATGGTGGTAACTTCCTGCTGTTGGCAGTTTCCTCACTGTCCCCGTTTGCTTTTCAGCTCCCATGTCACCGAGCCCATCAAATTTCCCCTGTTTCTTACACTTAGAGCAGTTTTTGTTTTCCTGACTATGCCCTGACTCATAAGCACTATGTATACATTTGCTGCCATTATTATTGTTGTTGTCATTGCCTTGTGTACTGCAAAGGAAACTCCGAAGGAAGCTGAGGCTCAGCTGGTAGAGTGGATTGACCAGGATTCTGCAGCTAGTGGGTGACAGACCTTAGCAGAGAACCCTTTTCACAGAGCCTCCCTTTCTGCCAGCCTTCGGGTGAATGGAAATCTGAATTTATAGTTTATTATCTAAGGACCCTCTCCTTTTTGGAATCTCACACACTGGAGCTTCTGCAGGGACATGTACTGAGGACATAGCTGTCCCAGCTGCCAAGTGTACACTTTTGGGGTCATATGCTATCCAAGTTGAGACTGACCTCAAACTCTTGGGATTCTACCACAGTGAAGCTGGGGGTGATAAAGATCATTGATTTAACAAGCAACAGAAGACAATTTGAAAGATCTTAAACAGTTCTCAATCTGTTTGTCTCCTGGAGCCCCAAGGCAGAGAGGTGTCCAAGCCTTGAAACCAGACCAGGGGCTGATGTTGTGTCAAGGTGCACTTCTTTCTTTTACCTCTCTTCTTGGCTTCATTCTTTGCTCTGCTTTAGTTCATATGGTAGAAAATGACCAGGTACATTTCTTTTCCAGCTATTAATAATAAAGGAGTGCAGTCTCTCAATTCCAAATTCCTAAGGGAGAGACGCTAACCCAGCAGAAGCCAGGTGTCTACCTCCATCTAGTAACGGGCTGAGGCTCACCACGTACAAAGTGTCAGCTGGAAACCCACTGTTGCCACATGGGTTGGTGTGGAGTAGTATTTTCCAGAAGGTGGGACCAGGACAAACAAGCCAACAAGTGTCCGTTATGGAGCTCATGTCAGGACTTCAGACAACCTGCCTGATCATCATAGGACTATCAACTGACATGTTAGGATGCCTGCCATTTGCCAGACACTGTGCTAGTGATATTCCATCTTTTTGTACTTTCGTTTGCTTTTTAATTTTAGTTCTCACAATCACTGTAGGAGGCAGGTTTTATTATTCACATTTTAGAGATGAGAAGAGACCAAAGGGGAAGTCACACATTTGTGCAATGTACAGCTGCGTGGGCCCACTAAAATGTGAAGGATCTTTTTATGGGAGAGTTGGAGTCTTGCTCTTTTGCCCAGGCTGGAGTGCAGTGGCATGATCTCAGCTCACTGCAACCTCTGCCTTACTGCAAACTTCACCTCCTGGGTTCAAGCAGGTTTCACCATGTTGGCCAGGCTGGTCTTGAACTCCTGACTTCAGATGATCTACCAGCCTTGGCCTCCCAAAGTGCTGGAATTACAGGTGTGAGCCACCATGTCCAGCCAAGGATTTTTATTGAGTAGGGGAGTTAAAATATATCAACTGAGGCCAGACACAGTAACTCATGCCTGTAATCTCAGCACTTGAGGTGAAATAATTGCTTGAGCCCAGGAGTTCAAGATCAGCCTGGGCAACATAGTGAAACCCATTCTCTACAAAACAAAAAAATTAGCTGGATGTGGTGGTGTGTGCCTGTAATCCCAGCTACTTGGGAGGCTAAGGTGGGAGGATTACTCGAACTCAGATTGAGACTGCAGTTAGCCATGATTGTGTCACTGTACACCAGCATGGGTGACAGAGCAAAACCCTGTGTCGAAAAGAAAAAAAAAAAAGAGCAACTGAGAGTTTCAACACTGTTTAGTGAATGCTGAGCAGAAGTTAAAATTCTTGGTTAAGTATACCTTTGATTAACAGAGAAAATGTTATAGGCCAGGTGCTATGGCTCACACCTGTAATCCCATCACTTTGGGATGCCAAGATGGGTGGATCACCTGAGGTCAGGAGTTCGAGACTAGCCTGGCCAACATGGTGAAACCCCGTCTCTACTACAAATACAAAAATTACCCAGGCATGGTTGCAGGTGCCTGTAATCCCAGCTACTCAGGAGTCTGAGGCAGGAGAATCACTTGAACCAGGGAGGTGGAGGTTGCACTGAGCTGAGATTATGCCACTGCACTCCAGGTGGTGTGAGGACAAATCAAGGTAACAATGTATGAGAAATAAATATTACAGGCTGGACGCAGTAACTCACACCTGTAATCCCAGCACTTTGGGAGGCCAAGGCGGGCAGATCACAGGGTCAGGAGATCGAGACCATCCTGGCCAACACGGTGAAACCTCGTCTCTACTAAAATATAAAAAATTAGCCAGGCATGCTGGTGCGCACCTGTTGTTCCCCGCTACTTGGGAGGCTGAGGCAGGGGAATCGTTTAAACCCAGGAGGCAGAGGTTGCAGTGAGCCGAGATCATGCCACTGCACCCCAGCCTGGCAACAGAGCAAGACTCAGTCTCAAAAATAAAAAAAGAAATAAATACTATTGATCCTTTAGTAGTTCATAAGCATGGTGATTAAGTTTTTACATGCATGTATAATGTGCTTCCTGCAAATCTTGTTACAAGGTTGGCACACTACCATCCAATGTGAAAGAAAAAAGATACTAAAATAAGAGGTCCTTGTTGGTAAAAATAATAAAATAGCTCTTTGGTGGTTAAAAGGACCAATTTGGTCCAATCTCAATTCTTTAAATAAAAAGGAATCTTGCTTGAGGTAAGTAATTTAGCTCCTTTGTGGAAAGTTCCTTGACTTCTGAGATGATTCAGATTTTGGAATTACTGATTTAGTCTTCTGACTGTATCAGGAGTCTTTAAATATACATTTTCCATTCAATTAATATGTCATGGATTCGGTTAATTTATCATTGGTGCAATCAGAAGCCATCAAAGTAGACTCTGAGTTGCCAGCCTTTACTTCTCTCCTGGTTAATCCTGACACCTCTCATGTGTCATGGATTTCTGAAATTCTGAAACTGAGATTGCTTATAGTTCAGATTGGTCATTGGATTGTTGTATTCCTAAAGAGAGATTATACAGCCACTTCAATGATGCAGTTTCCCCTCTTTGCCTTAAAAAAATTTCTACATGAGTGAAGAAAGCAGAATCTGTGGTCCAATAGAGTAGTGATGCTCAAATCGAAGTGCTTGTCGGAATCTACTGTGGGTGTTTTTATTTTTTTTAATTTTTTATTTCTTTTTAACTTTAGCAGTACTTAGTGTCCAACAGAAAACATCCATTTGCTAGACAATATCTCAACTGCAAAGCTTCTGTGACTGTTGGCAGATAGATAATGACACAGCGCGGTCATCACCACCGTGGCAACGGTGACCGAGAACTATCAGAGGAAAATGGCACATGGAACAGCTGGCTCTCGAGCAGGCATGCCTCAGCTTCCTCTGGAGCATTTTTCTGCAAGTCTGGTGTGCTCTGTGGGTGTTTTTCAGACAAAGCTGGCTCTGCCCCAGCCTCAGCCGTTCTGATTAATTCAGTAGGTCTGGGGTGGAGCCTGAGAACTGCATTTCTACCAAGTTCCCAAGTGATGATAATTCTATCTGTGGACCATACTTTAAAAACCAGCTGGGTGCAGTGGTTCATCCCATAATCCCAACACTGGGAGGCTGACATGGGAGGATTGCTTGAGGAGAGGATTTCAAGACCAGCCTGGGTAGCACAGCAAGGCCTCCGTCTCTTAAAAAAAAAAAAAAAAATAGCCAGGCACGGTGCACCTGTAGTCCTAGCTACTCAGGAGGCTGAAAATTTAGGGCCCCTTTTAAGGCCCTAGGAGCAGGGCTAGCAGTGAGATCAAATGGTTTTTGTAAAATGATTTTGCAAAAGGAAGATATTTTTGTATTCTTAAAAAAAAAGAAAAAAAGGCCGGGAAATTGTCTAAGCTTTAGGTCCCGAAAAACCTAGATCAGCTCCTTGATAATTGATCAATATAATTAACTAACATATATGAAAGGAATACAGATCGTAACCAAGAGAAGTTTTTTGTAGGCTAAGTAGTCTGTAAGTCCCAGGAATGACAGTACATGGGGACGTCATCTGAGAGAACAAGAGCCCCATATTTGAACTTTGTGTGGAACTTTAATTGAATGAGCTCAATGGAGCATTTAGACAGATGAAAATTCAAGTTGATCTTCATTCGCCTACTAAATAATCAGCTTGCTGTGTGTGATATATCAATTTGTGTCAAGAGCAGCTGATTTGGAGAATGAGACAGGTTCAAATTTTGGCTTCACCTTTTATAATTGAGTTCACGTATTCCCTCTGAGTCTGTTTTGTTTGCAAAAAGGGGGTTGGTAATAATAAAAGCTAATTTAATAGGGCTAGTGGGGTGCTATAGTGACATGACAGATAGGAAAAATGCTCTGAAGATAGAAAATGCTGCACACCTGTTAGTAGCGATACAAAGCTAACAAATAGTATACTCATCGTTTATATTAATAGAATAACTAAAAGGCCAGTCTACTAGAGGAGGAGTCAGCTGACTTTTTCTGCAAAAGACTAGACAGTAAATAGGCTTTGTAGGTCATGCTGTCTCTGCCATGTTAGGCAAAAGCACACACAGACAAGATATAAATGAATGTGCATGGCTGCATTCCAATAAAGCTTTTATTTATGAAAACAGGTACAGAATTGTGATACATTGAAATTGATCTAAAAGGACACTGTCGGCCAGGTGTGGTGGCTCACACCTGTAATCCCATCATTTTGGGAAGCTGAGGCAGGCGGATCGTTTGAGGTCAGGATTTCAAGACCAGCCTGACCAACATAGTGAAACCCTATCTCTACTAAAAGCACAAAATAGTAGCCGGTCGTGGTGGCACATGCCTGTAATCCCAGCTACTTGGGAGGTGGATGCAGGAGAATCATTTGAACCTGGGGGGCGGAGGTTTCAGTGATTAGAGATTGTACCACTGCACTCTAGTCTGGATGACAGAGTAAGATTCATTTTCAAAAATAAAATAAAATAATAAAAGGACACTGACCTTCAAATTAGGAACTTCCAATTGAATGTGAAGATAAAACAAATAACAGCAATTATATATGATATTTTTATTTAAACTCAACACTGAAGGATCAAAATTGTATCTACCTCATTTTCTGTGGCCTTCTAATGTAGCTGACATCTCCTTAGGGGATGAGGACACATAGGCGGAATAGGAAAAGCAGAATGAGGAGGAAGAGGGAGGCAAGATCAAGAACAGTTGAGAGTAAAGACAGCAGCTTGTTTCTTTTTAAGCTTCCTGGCACTGGGAGTAGCGGTCATCGGGTAAGCTCCTGCCTAAACCCTCCTCAGGGATTCAGCCTCAACGGTAAGCTCCTGAGCATGGAGTTTCGTGACCACCAAGAAAGTAAAGTGGTTCTATTTGGTAATCTCCTAATGAATTTTTAAAGGTGACTGATGGTGTCCAGGTCTGAGGACGTGGAAAACTGAGATAAACCCATTAAGAGACAGTTGCCCATTCATCTTAAAAGGGAAGTGAATCACGAACCATGAATAAAGCTGCTATAATCATTCACACACAGGTTTTCGTGTGAACAGAAGTGTTCACTTGTCTTGGGTAAATATGTAAGAGGGGGATCACTGGGTTGTAGGGTGACAGCATGCTCATGTTTATGAGAAGCTGGCAGCCCACTTTCTGAGAAGCTGTACCATTTTGCAATCCCAATGGCAAAGTAAGAAAGTTCTAGTTGCTCCGCAGCCTCAGCAGCAGTTGGCATTTTGCCAGGATTTTTTGGTTGGCTGGTTTCAGGGCAGTGGTGGTTGTTATTTTAGCATTCTAAAATGTGTGAAGTGGTAACTCATTGTGGTTTTAATCTGCGTTTTCCAAACAACTAATGATATTGGGCATGTTACATGCTTGTGAAAAACATTTATCTTCTTTGGTGACATATCTGTTCAAATTTTATTGCCCATTTAAAAAGTTGTGTCGTTTGTTTTCTTATTATTGGCTTTATTCATAGTTGCCAAAACTGGAAACAGTAAAATATCTATCAGCTGGTAGATGGATACACAAACTTTTATGCAACCATGAAATGGAATTCTCAGCAATAAAAAGGAATGAACTATTGATACCCTAAGTGAAGGAAGCAAGGTTCAGAAAGCTAGGTATTACACAGGACCCCCTTTATTTGACATTCTGGAATAGGCAAAACTGCAGGGACAGCAATCAGCTCGTTGGTGGGCTGGCAGTGAGGGAAAATTATTTATTTTTAAAGAACTTCTCTTGGCTTCACTCCCTAGCCCCTATCTCTTACTCTCCTAACTCCACCTTCCCGGCCTTGGGTTTAGTATCAATTTCAGCTTGAGTTTCTGATGCAGAAACACAAACATGATTTTCTTGAATTATAATCATGGAACTTGCCAGACAGCCGGACTTTTCCTTGGCCCTCCCTGACTCTGTCTGTGTTCCTGTGGGTGCAGTGCCCCTGTCCTTCGTTGCAATTCTGCTTTCCAGGGAGAGCAAGCCAGGGGATTGAATGGGGAGATGGTTGAACATTTTAAGAATTCAAAGGGCTGGGTGTGCCCAGCACAATGACTCACGCCTGTAATCCCAGCGCTTTGGGATACAAAAATTAGCTAGACATGGTTGCACATGCCTGTAATCCCAGCTACTCAGGAAGCTGAGATGGGAGAATTGCTTGAACCCAGAGGGAGAGGTTGCAGTGAGCCAAGATCGCGCCACTGCACTCCAGCCTGGGCAACAGAGTGAGACCGTGTCTCAAAAAATAATAATAATAATTGAACGTTGTGCACCCTGAGGATTCTGAACCATGGAGGATAACAATTTATGCTCACCCTTGCCACCCTCTGCAGCAGTTAGGAAGAAGAGATGTGGTGGGTGGTGGCTGGTGGGGAGATAAGTCAGATCTCTTTATAGTACAGCGAATGCCAGGGAATGGCCCGTAGTCTTTGGAGTAGTGGAGGTTTCTCTGCTGAATATTGCATAAAGAAAATGAGCTATGCTGCCTGTCTAGGGCTTGGGAATCTCTTCCTTTTAACAAAGTTTCTTGTTGTACACATTTATTATAAATAGCCTTTGCATTTTACAGGGCAGAACAGGAAGATTCCAGGCCATCAGGCAGGAGAATTTCTTTTCCTTTTTTTTCAAAATTTTTGTTAGAGTTGAGTTAAAGAGATACTGTGGCAATCCTGGAGGTCTTTTAGATAAAGGGCACATCCTTATGTGAGTGCAAGCTAAGCTTCTGCTGTGACTGATACGTAAGTCTTGTGGGGCAGTGGGGGTTTTCTTTTATAAATACACTTTACAGATTCCTCCAAGAGCAATCATCAGATACACAGTGCTTTAAAAGAAGTTGAGAATAATACTCTTGGTCCACAACTCCCTGGATTTCTTACCTTTTCTTTTCTTTTCTTTTCTTTTCTTTTCTTTTCTTTTCTTTTCTTTTCTTTTCTTTTCTTTTCTTTTGAGACCATCTCCCTCTGTCACCCAGGCTGCTATGCAGTGGTGCGATCTCGACTCACTGCAACCTCTGCCTTTTGGGTTGAAGCGAATTCTCATGCCTCAGCCTCCTGAGTAGCTGAGATTACTGGCAGGCACCACCATGCCTGGCTAATTTTTGCATTTTTAGTAGAGATGGGGTTTCACCATGTTGCCAGGCTGGCCTCGAACTCCTGACCTCAAATGATCCGTCCACCTCAGCCTCCCAAAGTGCCAGGATTACAGGCATGAGCCACTGCACCTGGCTTCCCTGGCTTTCATTGTCCAAGCTCATCGAAGATCTTTTTCCTGCTCTTTTGTCCTTGGTGATCATGGTTTGGATGATTCATGTCTGGATTCTTGCCATTCAAAGTGGAGCCTCTGAATAAGAAGCTGGGCATCACCTGAGATGTAGTTTTTGGAACTACAGAGCCCTACCCAGACCTACTGAATCAGAACCTGCATGCAAGTCCTTAGACAATGCATTTGCACACTGAAGTTTGAAAGGCATTGATCTACCTACCTCAAGGTCCTGCCAAAACATCCCGCCTCCTCTGTTAACCTTGTTGTGATATGACCCTCAGAAATGTACCCCTGGTGAATGCTTCTAACATCCACATAGGTGTGAGTATAGAGGCATGCCACTTTGCCCTAAATGCACTTAATTGATTAAGTGCTCAGTGCTGAGCTGGGAGTGAAAGATACAAAAACGAATAAAGCATGGTTGTTGCCTTCAGGGAGCTCAGAGTGCAGTGTGGGGCACAGAAAGAGCTGCAGCGTCCCATTCTCCGGTGTCTTTATCTGTCGTCTGACTTTCTTCACTGACACACAGTACCAGTTGCCTTCGCTAGAAACAGCTTTGTATCCTCAATGTACAGCCCGCAGAACACCTGCCTCAAATCATTTGGGTCAGAGGGATGGTACTTACGTGAAAAAAAGCAGGGAGTCTGGGAGTCTGTTTGAGACCTACTGAGTCACATTCTTTAGGTAAGACTGTGGCACCA